CGGGGCCGCGCCTTCCTGCCGTAGGTGCTGCGTGGGGGCCGCGTGGGAAGCGCTGCGCACGCAGCCTGTAATTGGTTTCGTGTTGCAGATGGTGAAGAGCGCCCGCCCGGTAGCCGAACCCAATCCGGGTTTCTGGTGTCAGCTGCAGCAGTATGAGGAGACCCTCCAGGCCCAGTCCCTTGTGGCCGGGGAGCACTCCGCGGTGGCTCGTCCTAACAGCGGGAGACCGTGACCACGAGTGGGCCCTGGATGTCGGCCATGCAGGCTCCCCGGGAGGGAAGGGGTGTCGGTGCCTTGACAGGAGGCTGGGTTTTCCCCTCCTTCCTCACCGTCACCTCTTAAGCCTCATCGTCCTGAAACGCAGCTGCAGAGGGCCTGTCCCCTTTGATGGCAGTGCAGGGAGGCGTCCACAGCTGCCCGAGAGGCCGCCCCTCCCGACCTCTAGGCAGCCTCAGCTTGTTTGGCTTTGATCAGGAAAATCTAAACCACTGGAGGAGTTTTAGGTAGAAATTGAATGCAGGGAGACGGGGAGGTAGGAGAATCACACGACCCGGCGCCCACCCAGCTGCCTGCGCTCTGGTGTCCCCTCCCCGGAGGACGCGCGCAGCCGCTGGCAGAGCCTCCTGCCGTCCAGCAGTCCACACCTGGCAGCGCCTCCCGCACCTCTCCCGGGTCCTATCTCAGCACCGAACACGGGATCAGACACGGCCTCTCCTGCACATCCTGTGAGCTGAAGAATATCCTAGGAAATTAATCACCATCAAAACTCCTTCAATAATATAGTGGGGAAAGAGAAAAGGAAAATTTGGGTAATGTGTATGAATTACAAGTAGTACCGTCATTGGTTAATATATAGAAATGTATGCACACAAGCTAATGAGTAAAATACCGCAGCTGTTTCCTTTCCACTATTCATTCCATGCTCCCTCTGCCCGCATCCAGTGCCTCAGCGGGTCGTGGGCTTCACCTGGTGGGGCGACTCCAGCCTTCATTCCTGAAGGGCCTGGGCCCTGAATAGCCTGCCCACACGGCTGCTTTGGCCTCCATTACCTGTACAGCATGACCTGGCCCCACCATGCACCACAGAGCCCCGGCTGCCCCCTTGAAAGTCGGGACCAGTCACCACCCATCAGAGCAGCCCATTTGCCTGAGACTTCCGTGGCCTCAGGATCCCACAATGGCTAGGTGGTGTCCTAGCCTCTGTCCAGTGGAGCACGGTTGTGTCATCTGGGAACAAAGACCTCTGACCGAGCAGAGCCCAAAGTTGCAGGGGATGGGAAGCACACATTTTGTGAGCAAGGCAGTGGGGCAGTAGTGAGAGGGGCTTTCCCCCTCCCCGTCCCTTGTGCTCCTGGACTTTGGTTTCTAGCTGTGACAGCATGACGCCATCCAGTGGTCACTGATTCAGAGCATACACCACACCCTGTAGGTCTGTGCCCAGCCCTGCACAATGCCACCAGTTCGGATCCCTATATAGGGATGGCCGGTTAGCTCACTTGCAAGAGCGTGGTGCTGACAACACCAAGTCAAGGGTTAAGATCCCCTTACCGGTCATCTTTAGAAGAAAAAAAAAAAGAGCTACAGCTGTCATCTCCACTTGGCAGGTAAGGCTACGTGCCTTGGATAGGCAAGCCTGGCAAACTGCCCAGTGGCATCAGGAGTGGGCACCCAGGCCCTTTTCTACCCTGCATGCTGCGGCTTATCCCTGCTTACAGCGCTTCCGATAGGGATCTCAGCTGCCCTCTCTCACCTCAGGGCATGGCCCACCCTCTGGCCTGCTGACCTGGCCCTGGGCGACAAGGGTGCAAAAGTGACAGGGTTAAAGGGCATCTGTGGGTCACATCAGACGCTTTTTATCGTACCAGCTCCATTCTGAGAACCATCTAACCGCTGCTCCCACCAGAGGCCCAGTTCTCTCTAGGACCTCTGTCCCAGGGACAATACAACCCCTGTCTGAACACGCTCCCCAGCCCTCTGAAGCCCTCCCATCTTGGTGCTCAGCTCCTAGTACGTGAGGCCAGGGACCCACTCCGTCCCCTGGGGCCAGTGCATGTGAATGGGGGTTGCCCCATTCATGTGTATTAGAAGGCTGGGATGTTGATGGCATGTCAAAGACGCCTCATCCTGCCGTTGATCACCAAAAGGTTGGAGTATGAAAATACCTGTGGGAGAAACCCGGGACTCTGACAGTCCCGACTTCCAGGTTCTCCCTGGGGTTAGGTTGGGGTGGCGACCCAGACAGGACGGCTGGCCTCCTCCAGGGCCTCAGGTGTAATGCTGCATCCCTCCAGCAGGGGGCGCTCCAGGCAGGCTGCCCTGTCGGGGTTGGGCCCTGGGGTTGGGCGGGGAGCTGGGCGGTACTGAAGGTACCTGTAGGTTACACTTTGCACTAAACCGGTCTCACAGTTCACAGGGTGCTTACTGCACCTGCAGGGGTGTCTGGGTGGGCTTTATACTGCAAAACGTGTTTTTGCCCCAAGACTCGCTTGTGCTGGCTCCTTACGTGAACGTAGTTAGAAGCGCTCCCCCAGCCCACCCCTGGGAAGAGGTGCAACAGCTCCTCCTGCCAGCAGAGCTGCCCCACTCCACCCCTCCTGCGTGCAGAACTGGCCCCTGGGAGGGGCCCACGGCTCTCCAAGAGAGGGGGCATGAGACTCCTACCCCTGATCCCCCCGAGTCCAATTGTGGAGACTGCTAGAGCAACTGCTGGGGAGGCCAGGGTGGCAGGACGCCAAGCTCATGGCAGGAAGGGCAACAAGGCCCCTGATGTGAATTTACCCTGAAGGTGACCAGGGCAGGCTAGTGTGGCACCTCGTGTACAGATCTACCAATCCAGGGTGGGCTCTGGAGAGTCCAGTTGAACTGGGAGTACCATCTAAAACAGTCTGCCCTTGGCACCGTGGGGCCACCACCATGTTGGGCCATCTGAAAGAAGCCAGGTGGGATCGCACCCCAGTTCTCTCCCCTCTTAAGTCTTGGATGTAGGACTGACCCCCACCTACAAGTGACTATATGAGCTATGGGGTTCCTGGGCACCCCAAGAGGGAGACTGTGTCCTCTCAGCTAAGAGGGCATGTGGGGACGCGAGGACGCAAGGGAAAACTGAAGCAGTGCCTCAGTGCCAATAGTCTGTATCCATGAACATGCACATCACCTCCCAGCCGTCCTTCCTACCCCACCCAACCACAGGGAAGGTGGGCAGATACGAACATGAGTACAAGTGGGGAGACTGAGTCCAGACAGATTAAACAGCCCTCAGGGATGACATGCAGTCCAGAGTGGAGTCTGAGTCCAGCCCCGCGCTTTGCCCCACCACGACCGAGCAGAGGAGCAAGGCAGTCTAGGTTTCTAGATGTTTCCCCAGCCCCAAAAGTGCCTTTTCGCTGAGAATCAGAATTCTTACCTGATGTCAACAGCAACATCATGGTGGCCCATCTCATTCCAAAGCTTCTCCAACTAGGCAGCTCCGCCAGACGTGAAGGACCCCTGCTGGTCTGCAGCCCTCCCCTCCTGGACAAGGAGCGTGGACAGGCTCATCTTAGGGCGGTCTTCACCAGGATCTGGCCCATCGGGAGTGGACCTGAGGGGCATCTCCAAAACCGTCGGTCCTCCTGGGCCCTGCCGGCCCTTCAGGCAGCACTCACTGTCCCACAGAACTTCCCGTGCTGATGGACATGTCCCCTCTGTGCATTGTCCATTCGTCCCCGTCCCCCCGCCCATGCACACACAAACACACAGGGAGGCCTTGCAACATGGCTAGTGCGACTAAGGAACCGAACTCCACGTGAATTTACTTGTTTATTCACATCCTTTTCTTGGCGGCTGCCGGTGCAGGGATCGAACTCTGGACCCTGTGTTGTCAGCACCACGCTGTAACCACCTGCGAGCCAGCCGGCCCCTAACTGCACTGAATTTAGACCTGAACAGCCCCACACGGCTAGTGGCTGCGGTATGTGACAGCACCGCGCCCACCACGCAGGCCACACGGCTCGACTCGCGGGGAAGTGCGTGGGGGGATCGTGAGCATCGTCCCCGGGGCCCGCGGCCCGCGAGGGGACGGGTAACACCGAGCTCCTGACCGCACGCTCTCCGGACGCACAGACCGCGCCGCGTCCCGGCGATCCCGCCTCCTGGGGTCTCCGCGGCCCCGGCCCCGGCCCCGGCGGCCCCGGGCCCTCCCCGCCTCG